GAACGAAGCTTTGTCTGCAGTGGTGGTGACTGCAGTCCAGGCCAGGACTTTGCTGCTGCAGAGTGGCCGGGAGCAGCTATGACTGTTTCCTTCTATTGAGAAGATATTCTTAGGGGGAGAGGGCGGCTGGGTGATTTCCCGGAATTTTAAGTATTCTGCACAATGAGTCTTTTGATTTCTTTCTCAGGAACCGGGCGGATACCTGACCAACTCGTGATTCTAGACATGAAGCATGGAGTAGAGGCGAAAAATTATGAAGAGGTATGTACGGCTCCGGCAGACAGAAGAGGGGGTAGCACTGAGCGCTTGGTGTGACCTAATCAGGCCAGTGGGCTGCACTTTGCCCAGAAGCTGTGGTTTTCTCAGCAGTCATGTGACAACCAGCTACTGTCCCAGTGATACAAAAGGTTGTAGTAACAGACTTAAACAGTAATCTGGCTGTGATTATAGCCAGGGGACTGAACCAGCTGGCTGTGCAGCTGTGTGTTGGTATGGTAAGGAGTTCAGTCATGCCGTTAGCATTCTAGGGGCAGAAGATGCACAAACTATTTTTTAAACTAGAATTCAGTCAAAAATTTTAAATTCCTCCCTCCCTCCCATATATACCATAGGTAGGTATCAATCTTAGGGCATAGATTCGTGCTGTTTAGTCTCCAATAGCTGTGCTGGTTTTGAGACCAGTACTAGTCAAAAATTGACTTTCAGTTAAAGTAATTCCAGACTTAAGGAAGAAGGCAGGGTGGTACAAAAAGGTGCATGGGGCAAGAGGCTGTGATAATGAGTAGAAATTTGAGGAGGCCCTTGTGGTGCACACCTGTGCTCCTAGCACTTGGGAGGCAGAGATATGAGGATCACCACAGTTTGAGGCCAGCCTTGGGCTACCTGGTAAGTTCTAGGTCAACCTGGGTTATATAGCAAGACCCTGTCTCAAAAAACCAAAAGAAAGACAAATTTTATTCTGGCAAGAAATAGAATAGAACAATAGAAATGGATGTTTTTGGGTATCCTAAAGAAAAGTTGCTTTAAGGGATTTCAAAGAATTTTTAGGAATGAAGAACAGACATTGCTCTGGCAAAACTTTGGAAGGAAATTGTCCTAAAATGGAAGCAGATAGGAAGTGATTGGCCATTTGTGCATCAGGAAGTGGTAGCCTAATGATGCTAAGTCCATGGAGCTTTCCTCTTGCTTCTGTTCATGTGTTCAATTGAGTGAGACCAGGGTTTCTTAGAAGCAGTAGGTAGAGCAAGCGATACAGTAATGAACAGAAGACGGTTCCCAGTAGAGACTAAGTTGCTTGTATCTCCAGGCTCGTTTAATGAAAAGAAAGTAGGAGAGCCTCTTTATTTGATGAGTTTAAAAGTGAAATCTTAAGTCTTCAAGATTCTGAAATAAAATAACACATTTAAACTGCTATTGTGAGATATTAAACACTAAGAAAATTGTGGCATTTTGTTTTGTTTTTGAGACAGGGTTTCTCTGTGTAGCCCTGCCTGTCCTGGAATTTACTCTGTAGACCAGGCTAACCTCAAACTCAGATCTACCTGCCTCTGCTTTCTGAGTGCTAGGATTAAATGCGTGTGCCACCACCAAACTGTGGCTATTTTTGCATAATATTTTTTATTCTTTGGGAAATTCATATATGTACATGATGTATTTTGGCCACATCCATCCCTACGTGTCTTTTTTTTTTTCTCTCTGTTTTTATTTTATGTGCACTGGTGTTTTGCCTGCATGTTGGTCTGTGTGAGGGTGTTGGTTCCCCTGGAACTGGAGTTACAGACAGTTGTGAGCTGCCATGTGGGTGCTGGGGATTGAACCCAGATCCTCTGGAAGAGCAGTCAGTACTCTTAACTGCTGAGCCATCTCTCCAGCCCCCGCCCCATGTCTTTTATCTTCATATCTTTGTTATTGTTGTTTTTTGGTTTTTCGACAAAGTTCACTGAGTCTAGTTAGTGCTGCCCATATGCCATGGGTGTGGGGCATGAGCAACCTAACAGTGGCGACACTCCCAAGAACAACGGCTCGCTCTCTCCTAGCAGCCACTAACCGCCAATAGCTCCTCAGCCAGGTTGGGACTCTTGAGCCCCAGGCTTGATCTTGTTCAGACCTTGTTCAGCTACTGTGAGTTCTTCATGTGCGTAAGGGCCACGCCATGTGTAGTGGCCAGCATTTCCAGCATTCTTCCCTGTCCTGTCTTGAGAGTTTACATTCTTCCCCCCTCCCCACGATGTTCCCTGAGCCTCGGAGGGGTTGAATTACAAGAGTCAGGACAGTGTTTTCCGTGCCTCCTTACTGCTGCTGTTTCCACCCATAGACCATTCTCTGAAACAGACATTCATTGCTTCCTACTGTATATATAACCTGTTGTAACTTAGTCCTGTCCTTAAGGTGCATATGTATTCAATAACAGGGCACCGAAAGCCCTATTACACTGCAGACATATCATATCCCCCCAAAACAGCTGGCATTACTGTGCCTTTATAGAAAGAATGGTATGGATACTACTATCATACCACAGGAATTATGCCTATAATTCCTATCCTTTCCAGTATCTTTAAGTGTTACTAACACTGGGAAAGGAGTTTTTTGGGTTTTTTTTTTTTTTTTTTGACCCTCTGCTTAATATAAGAGGGGAATCCCTAGCGGAAAGGAACTACATCGCTTCCGTTGCCTGCTTCCTGCTTTGGATGTCTGGCATGTCCTAAGCTTTTTACGCACATGATTACCACATAGCTCTAAGGTTCTGCTTCCTAACCACAAACTCTTGCCCACTACTGTCTTTAATGACTTCCCCCACCCAGCTCCCAACAGCAGAGCAGATTGAGGCAAAGGCAGAGTAGCTATGACGGGCCACAGTCAGTCCTTTTTTGAGTCTGTGGCTAGGCTACTAGACTTGGATCTTGCTTAGCAATAGCTGTGACTTGTCTTGGACTAAGAATACCTGTGATGAGATAAAGATAACAGAAGCATTTTGTTTCCTAGTTAATTGCTGGAGAGCACTGAGCATATTTAGAGGTTTTGAGACATTTAATTTTAAGCCCTGGAGATAATGGAGACCCTTTATCCCAAAAGGATTTGAACCATTTGGCATCAGGAAGGCAGCATATTTCCTTTTCTTCACATCCAGCACCTCAAGAATGTGGACTCAGTTGTGAAATCCTGTATTGTCCTGTAATGCCTTACTGTTGTAGCCCAGGCTGGCCTGGAACTCACTATGCAGCCCCAGGCTGAGCTCAGACTGTCAATCCCTTTAATCTCAGCCTCTTTGATACTAGGAATGCAGCCCTGTATCACACGGCTTAAGAGTGGGACAGAGTAGCACATTAACCTGTTGAAATTTTATGAGGGACTTAATTAGTAAAATCCTTATATAGCCTTAATAGAAATGTGGCATTTGAAAGACAGAATACTTGCTATATATAATGTAAAGAAGCCTAAAATCTTGCATTTTGAATTCAATGACAAGGAGTGCTTTATACACAGAAACAGATGTTTGGTCGCTTGTGTTTTAAGGACTTGTGTAACTGTCTCGCCTCTGCCCCTTAGATGGTGACATCTCGTAGATTCAGTATGTGCATCTGGCCTTTTTCTTCTCTCATTTTTAAGGAGCTTGTGCTCTGTGAACTGGAGTAGCTGTTTGCAGGGATAGACTCCCTGGTTGTGTAACTGGGGAGACTGTCAGGTTTCAAACTGGGACCAAATGGCTGGGGTGTCTATTAACATATCAAAGTAGACCTGGCCTCCAGGTTCTCCCCAATTTCTCAGCCCTTCTGGCTGGCATACCCTGCCCTCCACCCTGAACTCTACAGCCCAGGGGCTGGGCTGCCCTTCCGCCAGCTGCTCTTCTCTATATAATCCAATCATTTTGGTTACCTGGTCCGTTTGTATACTCTGTGCATCCTGGCTACTGCACCTGCCCCCGCCCCCGCCCCGCTCCCCAGGGCCCAGCTCACCCTGGTCATGTCCACTCTGGACTTTCCCAGATGTCTCTGCCTCTGGCTGTGCTCTTCCACATGTCTATAGTAAACTTTCTCCCCCATCATACCTAGGAGCAGTCATGTCCTTTCCTTTCCTTTTTCATTCATCTGGTGCCAAAGGCGGTTTTTCATAAAGAAGGAGCTGTGATAAATCCCTAACTCCTGAGCTGTGTATGACCTTTCTTACTGTAAATGTCCACGTTTTCAACATGGGGAAGTCCTGTTTCAGCTAGGTTCCATTAGTCTGCCATTCTATCAGTAGACACTCCAAAAACAGAGTTGGGGCCGCAGCTGAGACTTCCCAAGGGTTCTGGTTCTCTGAATGCTGTAGGAAGGAGGAATTGTGCTTCCATACACCAGTTCCACAGTTAAAGGACAGGCCATGAGGAAGGCCCCTGAAACGTGGTTGATCAGTGTGCGAGTTTTCCCTCCTTTCCCTGCCCGTCCTGGAGACTGTCAGGTGATCAAAACAGGAATAAAGGAGAGCTTTCCCACTTTCCTGCCTGCGGTTGAACTTACTATCTGAACTTGACTTTGACAGCCTCTGGCCTTGTGAGCTGCTCTGAACGGGCATATGGGCTGTGGGCCTCCCCTGGTGCCAGGAGATTGGTACTTGGATCTGGGTCTTTACCTTTACTTTTTGTTAGCCCCTACATTTATTGCTTTGCCTTTGTAACTTAGGGGAGCTGATTTGGTTTTTTTGTTTGTTTGTTTTTGTGAGGTGAGGCATGGAGGTAGCAAATTAATTTGAGTGAATTTGGCTTGTAACAGGAAACTTTTTGCGTGGGTCTTGAAGTGGTTCGGTTTATTTGTTCTGCTTAGTTTTGCTTCAGTGATAATGGTTTTTTTGTTTTTTTTTTTTTCTCAGTGCCATTGTAGATAAGTAAGTCGTTGAACTCTTTGGATTCACGGCTTCATCAGAGTGGAGGACGTGAATGAAGAGCTTAATTTATTGATGCTCTGAAGGTCATAGACAGGGAAAGGCCACATGGCTTTGGTTTTTTCTAAGCCATATGGACTAGTCACGTTATCATGTTCAAGTAGTAGATACTGTGGGATGGAAGGTTTTTCTGGGCAAGTGGGCTTTATGGAAAAAAGATTCAGAGTGATCTTCACACACAGAGCACTTGCTTAGGGGCCACAGTCCTTGAGAAAGCTGGCTCCTCCAGGCCATTGCTGTGTGTGAGGTGATTTCCTTGAGTTCAGGCTTGAGATACAAGTCAGAACAATAATGTGTGAATGTGTCAGTGTATGGGTGTTAATTGTGCCAACCATAGCTTTAGG